TAGTCTCTTCTAATCTAGGAAAATTCCTGGTTTTTCCTTTTGTATCAATGATTTGTTTTAAAGAATAAATGCTTTACCTATGCAGGGTAATTTTTCAACTAGGTCCATTCAATGTTTCCTTTTAAGCAAACTTTGGTCATGCTTTCCTAAAACCAAATATTTTATTTTCTCATGCTGGTACCCAGGCTTGAACCAGGGCTTCAAACATTCCCCTGGCCTTTTCACTCATGGTTGACACTCTACTGTGTGAGCCACACCTCTAGTCTGGCTTTTTGATGGTTAATTGGAAATAGTCTCACAGACTTTTCTGCTCAGGATGTTTAATCCTTCATGTCTCAGCCTTCAGAGTAGCTAGGATTATAGAGGTAAGCCACAAGCCCCCAGGGTTCAGTGCTGTTTTCATTTCACCTAGGTGGAAGTGAACTTGGATGACCCAATCATTTTGTCTGAATTTATTCATAAGTAAAGCACCAGCCTTGGGCAAAAAAGCTAAGGGACAGTACCCAGGCCCTGTATTTAAGCCCTAGTACCTCAAAAAAAAATAAATAAACTGGAAGGAGCAAGAACCTAGCTGCCTGTTAGGAGAAAGACATTCAGAGACACAAGAGAATTCTTTTCTCATAAAAAAAATGACAAACTCAAACCTTTGATCGCTGTTAACATGGTTTATATTTGTGTCATAAAGCTATTTGAATGAAAGATAACATTTTAGTTTGATTTTAAAACTATATACTTATGATGGCAGAGCATAGATGTCCTCAAGTATCATTTATCCTGAGGTTGTTACATTCTGGTGAAATTTGGAAATTAGAAATTAGAGGTCTACTGGTTAAGAGCACTTGACTAGGAATAGCATAGACAATTGCAACTTCCAGAACAAAGTCTGGCCTAAAATTGAAAACAGAAAATCCATGGAAGGGCCAGGAAGAGCTGATGGCTCAGGCCTCTAGTCCTAGCTACTCCAAAGGCTGAGATCTGAAGACTCCAGTTCAAAGCTAGTCTGGGCAGGAAAGTCTGTAAGACTTATCTCCAAATTAACCAGCAGAGAGCCACAAGTGGAGCTGTGGCTCAAGTGGTAGAGCACCATCTGTGTGAGGAAGCTAAGGAACTGTGCCCAGGCTATGAGTTAAAATCCTATTACTGGCACACACACAAAAACCAATTTTGGAAGAACTGACTGGGAAGAAATCAACATTAGGTACTCCAACTGGATTTATGTTTACCAACTGGAGTTACTCAGCTTATAACTAGTACATTAGAGTAATTGTCCAATAAAACAAATGGAAATATCATTTACATGGTAACAACAACAGATGATGGTAAGATAAGCGTTCTCTGTTGCATCAGATTGAATAGCCATTTGGACACACTATCTGTGGTATTATTTGGTACAAGTTATGAAGCTTTAATAGACCTGTGGACCTTGCTTGGGTCATGTGCCATATGTGTTGATATGAGGTAGGATTTTGAGGCTAAAAAGGGAACATTTTCTTTGGAGAGTACTCATTCACTATAGCTTTTAGATACACACACACACACACACATATATACACATACACACACATATATGTATATATATGTGTGTGTGTATCTATCTATATCTATCTATCTATCTATCTATCTATCTATCTATCTATCTATCTATCTATCTATCTATCTATCACAAATTTCCAGTAACTAAGTCTCTCCACATCAGGTTGTTACACTCTATTCCCTTCTGTGTAGTCCTTTCCACAGGAAGTATCCAGATCTAAGAGCTCAACCTAGACCCCTGAGACTGGAATCCTGACATCTGACACTAGAATTGGAGTGTTAGGATGTTGTTAAGGTTGTTTTCATTCCTTACTGCTAGCTTGGCAGTAAGATGATGATGATTTGAGCCTATTAGTACACAACTAATAACTAGAAATAATGATTTTTTTTGGTTGCCAGTACTGGGGCTTGGACTCAGGGCTTGGACACTGACCTTTAGCTTTTATGTCAGTGAGTAGTGCTCTACATCTTGAGCCACAGCACCACTTCTGGTTTTCTGGTGGTTAATTAATTGGAGATAAGAGTCTCACAGACTATCCTGACCAAGTTGGCTTTGTACCATGATCCTCAGATCTCAGCATGCTGAGTAGCTAGGATTACAGGCATTAGCCACTGGCACCCGGCCAGAAGGGTTTAAAAAAAAAATGGCAGTGTTACTAGGTACTGGTGGGTCATGCCTATAATCCTAGCTACTCAAGAAGTTGGGTTCTGATGGTCATGGTTCAACCCAGACCAGGCAAGAAAGTCCATGAGACTCTTATCTCCAATTAATAATCAAAAAGCCAGAAGTAGAGCTGTGGCTCAAGTAGTAGAGCACTAGCCTTGAGTGACAAAGACACAGTACCAAGGCTTGGAGTTCAAGCCACAGGACCAGCACAAAAATAAGCAGGAACATCTTTGCATTGTTCCTGATCTGTCAGAAAGACCCTAAATATAAGACATTAAATGTGATATTAGTTGTATGTATGGAAATCCTTTACAATATTGGTTTGCTTCCTGTATCTACCTAGCTTGCCAAGAGGTGTTTTCATTAATAGGCTTTGGGTACTGTCTAATGTTTTTTCTGAATCTATTGATATGATTATGGCTCATCTTTGTGCTGTTGATAAGTTACTGATTTTGAATGTTGAACCAATAAATCCCATTTTGTGGTGATATATGTTCTTGTGGATTTTTTTATCAATACATTGTTAAATTTGATTTGATGAGAAGTAATTGCATTATGATTACATCTATATTCTCATGCCCATTTTTGGTCTGTAATTTCATATCTGGTAATGTTTGACTTGGTTATTAGTCATGCTGGCTACATGGAATAAGATTTTTCCCTTTGCTACTACATTCTGGGGGAAAAATAATTAGGAATGAAAAAGGTAACAATTCTATTCATTCTTTTGGTAGATTTCAGCAGGACACTTGTATAGTCCTGGTATTTTGTTTTTCAAGGTTGTTAAATACTGATTTAATGTTTAAAATATGACTTATTATCTTTAAGTAGATGTACAAAAGGGCTTCCATTTAGCATGTCTGTTTATGAGTACAATGCTTCTTCTTAACATGCTATTTACTAAGTTTATTCTTACATATTTAAAGAACGCATCTTTAAAAGAATAGGTCCATTTTGTATAGGTTTAATTTATGGGTAGAATTTGTTAATATTTTTTATATTTCTTTTGATATTTGTAGCATCAATAATGGTAGTCCTTTTTTTTCTTGTGCTGGTACTGGGGCTTGAACTCAGAACCCTTGCACTCTTGCTTGATTTTTTTGCTCAAGGCTGGTACTCTACCACTTGATCCATCCTCTACTTCCTGATTTTTGTTGGTTAATTGGAGCTAAGAGTCTCATGGACTTTCCTGCCTGGCCTGGCTTTGAACCACAATCCTCAGATATGTCTGCTGAATATCTAGGATTACAGGCAGCAGTCACTGCTACCCAGCTCTCTTTCATTTCTGGTATTTATAATTTATGTTTGTTTATTTAGAGAGGAAATAAAGTTTGACCTTAGGGTCTCAAACTTGCAAAACCCATTGTTGAGCCATACCTCCAGCCCTTTTGGGGGCATTGGTTATTTTTAAGATAGCATTGTTTCTGAGATATAGCTTCACTTCCTGGGTAAGTGTGCTTGGAATATGATCTTCCTGGTTTTGGCTTCCTTGAGCTAGGTGTATGTGCCACTGTGTCAAGCTATAGGTAGGAAAGGGATCTCGTGAAGTTTATTGTCTAGCTGGCCTCTACTCCTAATCATAATCCTGTTCGCAGCCTCCCAGGTAGCTAAGGTTACAGACATATGCCACCAGCACCTGGCTATTTTTTTTTTAAGACAGGGTCTTACTCATGTCAACCAATCTGGCCTTGAACTCATGATTCTCCTACCTCAGCCTCCTGAGTGCTGGGATTATAGGCATGTGTCATTACACCTGGCTTTATGTCTTTGTCTTTTAAATTAGTTAACTTAGCTAGAGTTTAATCAATCTTATTGACCTTTTCAGAGAATCATTTTTTATTATATTACTGGTTTTCTTCCAACTGCACTACTTTTTACTCTTTATCTGTTTACTCCACATTTTTTTTCTAGTTTTAGAAGGCAGAAAATTACACAAGCAACCTGAAATTATTAGAACATATAATATTACTTTTGTAAACTCCTATGTGATATAACATATGACTTCCCCCATTCTGTCTAATTTGTGGCCCTATTCCATCCTCAATCCTACCCTGCCTGGGTATGGCCTATCTCTGAATTTACAGCCAAACATCACTGAACAGCATCTTGGTGGCCATAAGTGCTCCTCTTTCTCTACATTGTGATGCAGCTAGCTACAGGTCTGGAAAAAAATTACATAAGCCTAAGAAGAATATGAAATAGGATCTAGAACTCTGCATCTAACATTTTGATTGATAATTTTTGAGTGAGCAGACATTGGCTCTCATTTCAACTCTTATTCCAGGGCCTAAATACATGGAAGATTGGCCTATTGACACCATTACTAATTTAGGGATACCTACATCTTAGTCACAATTACGTTACATTGATTTGAATGAAAGGCATTCAGTTGTTTTCCTCCAGATGCTGGGGATTAAGCCAAGGGCCTCGTGCATGTTAGGAAAGCATTATATCAACTGCTACATCCTCAGCCCCAAATACAGACACTTTATATGACTTACCACATGGAAACATTTAAGTCTTACACATACTAAAGCGATTTCTCTTATGTTTTTAATGCTATTATAATCTATGTTTTTTTAAAAGGTTTAATTCAAATGGTTGCCAGTGTTAGGGATTCAGAAAGAGAGAGTATTTTAAAAAGGAAATTTCTTGATGTCACATCATGATGCTCTGATAATCCTGGTAAAATACAGACTCCAGATTCCTGCTCAATTGTGCAACTTAATTATGTTCATGACTACGCAAATCTAAAAGGAAAAACTGGATAAAACACAAAACAGAACACATGTAAAAATGGTAAATTTGAAGAAAGTCTATATTTGAGATTGCATAATAACAATTTCTTATATTTCATAACACAGTTATGTAAGACATCATTAGAATAAGGTTGAAGAGTGCATGAGAACTCTGTATTCTTACCACGTGCTTATAAATCTATACTTTTATTACTTTATAGAAGTTTCTAAAGATTTATATTTCAAAACATATAGCTGTCAATTACTACTTATGTTTTCTAAAAACATTTCTGGCAACATACCTAAACCATGATGTATAATACTACAAAAGTTTCAGATTAAATTTCATAATTTGACATTTCTCTATATATGGTTTGACATCATGTGTTTTCCTAAAAATGTTTACAAATTTAAAACATCTGTAAGGTTTTGGGGTTGGGGATTTAGTAGAAGGGCACTCAGAGCTAGCCCTGGGTTTGTTCCTCCTCAATGAAAAATAAGTCTGTAAAGTTATATATCAGCATTAATTTAGGATGTCATTTAGGCTGTTGGAGAAGTTGTTGAAATCTATGGTTTATACTCTATCACTGGCATAAGATATATTCAGTCCAGAAAGATATTAAATATTTGAGATGGCAGCAGAACTTTCTCCAATGTGTGCATGCTAATGTGTAGAGTGGATTAATCTGTGGCTATTCATGTCTAATATCCATTTCATTCATCAGATTGATCTTGTGTGTATTCTCTGATGGACACTGAGGTTTGACTTTTGAGAAAAGGTTTTCCTACATGTGTTACATTCATAGGGCTTCTCACCTGTGTGCGATCTCTGATGTTTTACAAGGTCTGATTTACGGTAAAAGATTTTCCCACATTCGTTACATTGGCAAGATTTCTCACCTGTGTGAGTCCTATGATGTACTGTGAGGGATGATTTGTGACTGAAGGATTTCCCACATTCAATGCATTCATAAGGTTTCTCCCCTGTGTGTTTTCTCTGATGTAAAATTAGTCCTGACTTTACACAGAAAGATTTCTCACATTCATTGCACTTGTAGGGCTTTTCTTCTATGTGGGTCCTCTGATGCACAGTTAGAGCAGACTTATGGCAGAAAGCTCTTCCACATTGAGTACATGCATAGGGCTTCTCCCCAAGGTGAATTCTCTGATGCTGTGTGAGCTGTGACTTCTGGCAGAAAGACTTTCCACATTCATTGCATTCATACGGTTTCTCTCCAGTATGGGTTCTGTTATGTTTAGTTAGGTAGGACTTATTGTAAAAGATTTTTCCACATTGAAGACATTCATAAGGTCTTTCCCCGGTGTGTGTTCTATAATGCTGCGAGAGGGTTGACTTATGGCTGAAGAATTTCCCACATTCGGGACATATAAAAGGTTTCTCCCCTGTGTGAGTTCTCTGATGCACTGTGAGGTCTGAATTTAAGCAAAAGGTTTTCCCACACTCATAACATTTATAAGGTTTCAATCCTGTGTGAATTACTTGATGTCTTCTGAGTACTGACTTGTGGTAGAAAGCTTTCCCACAGATATCACATGTGTAAGGCTTATCACCTATGTGAGTTCTCTGAGGCTGCGTGAGGTGTGACTTTTGACAAAAAGATTTCCCACATTCCAGACACGCAAAGGGTTTCTCCCCAGTATGTGTTCTCTGATGAACTGTAAGGTGTGAATTCATACAAAAGGATTTCCCACATTCATTGCATTCATAGGGTTTTAGCCCAGTGTGGGTTCTCTGATGCTTAGTGAGGTCTGACTTCTGGTAAGACATTTTCACACATGCAGTGCACCGATTGGGTTTCTCCCCTGTATGCATCCTCTGGTGTAATATGAGGGCTGACTTGTGGCTAAAGGCTTTACTGCACTGATTACATTCATATGTCTTTTCTCCTACGTGTGACTGCTGATGTTTCATGAGGTTTGATTTCTCCCAGAAAGTTTTCCCACATTCCTTACATCCAAAGTGTTTCTCTCCTGTGTGCACCCTATGATGCCTTGTGAGATATGACTTTTCCAAGAAACCTTTCCCACAGTCAGGACACTTAAAGTGCTTCTCTCCTTTATGAGTTGTCTGAGGTTGTGAGAGACATAACTTGCTCTTGAAATGATTTCCACTTTCACTATATTCACAGTGTGTCTTAAGAATGCCACCATGTTTGAGAGAGATAGATTTCCAGAGATTCTCCTCAGAGGACACGACCTCAGGGTATAGGAGGGATGAGGCATTAGAGGGAGGTCGCCCATGTTCAGAGCTGGCATGGTCCAGCTCATCTCTGTTTTCATTTGTATGTGGGTTGAACAATGTCTTTTCCAGGAATGCTTCCTGACTTACATTATATTCAAAAATATGTCCTAAAGTCTGAATCTTTTCGTGCTGAATAGGAGCCTCATGGTGAGAGCTAGAAGTCCTGTTTTTTAAAACTTCACTTCTCTCCTTACAGTGAGTTTCCTCGTGTTTAATTTTGAGTAGCAATTTTCCACAGGCATTAAATTCATCAGGTTCATTCTTTAAGTAGGTAGTCCTACTAAAAATCAATTCTGAAATTCTGTTGAAACTCATCCCATAAGAATCACAATGACAGAATACTTTTGTGGGAGAAAATGAATTGATGTCCAAGTTAAATGGTTTTCCTATTATATGGCCTTTCTCCTGAGTCAACCTTTTGTTATTAATGAATACAACTTCCCACAAATGTTTAGATGGATTTTCCTGACTCCTGTCCTTCAAATGGTCAGCATTCCAAAGGTCTAGAAAGATGAAAACTCAGTCTCAGCATTTAAAAAACATCTATTTTCCTTTCATAGGTTTTTTTGTTTGTTTAGTTGGGAGCTTGGGGGTACTGGGGTTTGAACTCAGCGCTTCATGTCATATTTGTAACATGGGTACTCTACCACTGAGCCACGCCTTCAGCTTTTTTGCACTGGTTATTTTTAAGCTAGGGTGTCAATCCTATTCAAGTGCATATTTGGACTGTGATATGCCTATTTATGCTTTGCTCAAAGTTAGGATGCCAGGTACTGCATTTAGCTATGTGGCTAGAAGGGGAGTCTCACAAACTCTTTTGCCTAAGCTGGCCTCAATTCACCGTTATTCCAATCTCCAAAGGAGCTAGGATTACAGGTATCAGCCACCAACACCTGGCACTAAAAAATCTCTATACAAATGTCATATGTTATAGCTGTTGCTTTCTATCCAAGTTCCAGAAGTGAAACTAACTGCCATTCTTTTTCTATTTTGTGGGTGTGGGGTATGAATAAATACGTAGACTAGAATAGTGGAAAAAGAGAAAAGAATCTGACTATTAGAAAGTTGGCTAGGCACTCATTCCTTATACCTGTAATCACAGCTATTCAGAAAGCTGAGATATGAGAATCATAGTTCAAACTAGACTAGGCAGGAAAACCATGAAACTTTTATCTCCAGGTAGCCTCCAAATAGCTGTGAATGGAGGTATGGCTCAAGTGGTAGAGCTCTATGCTTGAGTGATAAAGCTAAGAGAGAGCATTTAGGCTCTGAGTTCAAGCCCAAGTACTGGCACACGCACACGCGCACACACACACACACACACACACACACACACACACACACACACACACCAAACATATATTTACTTTAAAAAATATGAATAATATAATCTCTCCATGTATCTTGGTAAAAATAAGATCCACAAAATAAGCATTACCTATAATAACCTATGAGTTTCAAATAGCAAGGAGACAAAAAATATAGTGAGCCAGCCTGGACAGAAAGTTTGCAAGACTACTTCCCAACTACTTCCCAAACCACAGCTGGGTGTAGTGGTACACACCTGTCATCCTGGGAGGCTCAGATTGTAAGCTCAGTACCTGCCTAGCAAATGTGAGACCCTCAGTTCAAACCTTAGTCCCACTAAATAACAAAAAAGAACTTGCTCCAAATATTGGAGAAACAATCTGAAACTCTCGGTCAACCACCAGTTAAGAATAATCAGATTCTAAACTATGACAGCTCAAGTCTAATACTGCTTTCTGTAGTGTTAGAACAGTTAGAACGATGATAGCTAAACCAAGCATGCTATACAGAGAAAGAGATTTGCTATGAGGAAAAGAAACTAAGCAGTGTTAAGGCTTAAATTGAGAAAAGTAAATTGAAACACAGAATAAGATTCAAGGCCAGCTGGATGCCAGTGGCTCACATCTGTAATCCTAGCTAATTAGAGGATTGTGCTTTGAAGCCAGCCCAGGAAAGAAAATCTTTGACACTTTTATCTCTGACTAATCACCAGAAGTCTGGAAGTGGAGCTGTGGCTTAAGTGGTAGAGCACCAGCCTTGAGTGAGAAAGCTAAAGAACAAACCCAGTCCCTAATTTCAAGCCCCTAATACTGGCATACACACACAAAATCAAGACCAGATCAAAGTTGAGGAAACTCCCCCAGAAGAAGAAATTGCAAGGCTAAAGAACAGCAAGGCTATGGACAAAACTAAACTTCTTGAGGTGCAAGATTCCATCAGCAGATCTCACTAATAAATTATCCAAATCCAAGACAAGAGTGCTTAAAGCTCTCCTGACCTGATATCCCAGGTAAAATCCAGAAATAAACACTATTGTCATTACATAGTTAAAACTTCAAAAAGATGCTCTAGTTTTACCAGAGGATCTAACATTGTTTTGGGAGAGTATGAAAACAAAAAACAAACAGGAACAAAATATCCAGAAGCTGCTCACGCTGTCATCCTAACTACTTGGGGGCTGAAATCTGGAGGATCATGATTCGAAGCAAGCTCAGGCAGAAAAGTCCTTAAAAGTCCATTTCCAGTTAGGTACGGAAAAAAAAAAATCCATGGCTGTAAAAGTGGCTCGAGTGGTAGAGCACCAGCTGTGAGCAAGCCAGCTGAGCAAGAGTGAGGCCCATGAAGTAAAATGAAGTGAAATAAATATAATGAATAAACCCAGGAGTTAATGGAACACTTAAAAAAAAAAAAAGAGTGAAGCAGAGAATCATTTTGGACACAGAAGGCAAAAAGTACAGATTATGGCTGATGCCCATAATCAGCTGCAGAAACTGAAATCATGTAAGAGACAAAAACAAAAAACAGAAGCTAAAATATCAATATGAACAACCAACTAGAAGAAAAGCAAAAACACATAAGCAAAGAGGACTATTTGAATTAACTTGAATTAACTACATATAATAATAGATCTGATCCTTGTTTCTGCAGTCCAGACTAACTCACCTGGGAAGTTCTGACTTGGAAATTCTTCCTTCAATGTCCATGGCTCTGCCCCTTGCTCCAGTTTGAAGATCACCTCGGGCTGGCTCACATAATACCCTGTTAACAGAAATAATGAAGGCATTTGGTCAGCAGCTTAGACAGTATGGCCTCTGGTAGTGGATGAAGCATTGTGCTGTTGAAACATGCCAACAGGAAATTCAATTTTTTCCCAATGTCCACTATCTTTACATGGTACAAAGGGTCGACAGGCTTCATAACTAAAGGAAAAAGCAAGTGCTATATGGAACGACACAGTAAACAGCCTTACCCACTGAGACAAGGTGGCTGTAGTTTTCGAGCATCACGTCCCTGTACAGAGACCGCTGAGCACCATCAAGGTGGCCCCACTCCTCGGGAGTAAAGTCTACAGTCACGTCCTTAAATGACACTGATCCGTGGAATTTCTGTCCAGTCTGCAACATCCATGATTAGGTGACATGGAAAAAAGATGCATGGGATGATTCCTTACTGCAATTACTGCTCACAGATTATGAAAATCACTACACATTCATTGCATTTGCTTTATACTTCCAAAGGGAGAGGAAAGGAAATAATAACTGCTATTAGATTAAGGTATTAATTCATATTCATGCAATAACAAAAAAGTCAGCAAGACCCTGTAAAGTACCTGGAACTATTAGAGCTGTTGGAAATACTAAATTGAATAAAAGTCCTCATACTTAATGAGTAAATAATGGAATATGTGCAGTAAATAACAGAACATATGCAATAATATACTAGTGCTAAAAAGCAAGTGTATACAAACCAGGTTAATGGGGTTTGAGGCATAGCTAAGGTGGTAAAGTTCCAGGTAATGAGTAAAAGTGTCAGATACTGAGTTTGATTCCAGTTCTTAGGAATAAAAAGGTTAATGTTCTATTTAGAATTTCCTTAGGTTGAAGACTAACCCTGTGCTTTTCCCAAGCCCAGTGCCACACCAGAGGGTGGTTGGAACATTCCAGAAGCCAGCACAGAACAAGCAGAAGACATGAAGGTGTCACTTTCCCGACACAAGAAAAAAGGCCAAGGAAGTAGTTAGAAAATTGAATATGGAATATTTTAAACCCAATAGTCTGCCAATCATTTTATTATCTTCAAGAGTATTTTTGTATGCTACAGATTTATACTTACAAAAATTGCAGAAATAAAAAAGCATTTATGATGAATAGCAATTTACAATTCAATATGTTTTTGATGCCAGAATTGGGGCTTGAACTCAGAGCCTGGATACTGTTCCTTGGCTTTTCTTTCAGTGCTGATGCTCTACCACTTAAGCCACAGGTAGACTCCTAACTTTTTTTTTTTGAGTCCGGTCATGGGGCCTAAACTCTGGGCCTGGGCGCTGTCCCTCAGCTCTTCAGCTCAAGGCTAGCGCTCTACCACTTGAGCCACAGCGCCACTTCCGGCTTTTTTCCTTTTGCTTATGTGGTGCTGAGGAATCCAACCCAGGGCCTCATGCATACAAGGCAAGTGCTCTACCACTGAGCCACCTTCCCAGCCCGACTCCTAGCTTTTTGTTGATTAAATGGAAATAAGAGCCTCAGAGGCTTATCTGCTGGCTTTTAACTGTGATCCTCAGATCTCAGCCAACTGAGTAGCTGAGAAACAGGTCTGAGCCACAGGCCCCCAGCATATTGTTTGTTTGTTTTGACTTGCTCTAAATGTCTGGGTTACATGTGCAAAGACCGATTGAGCCAACACAAATAATTTATGGATAAAGATAGATATATGACATACATAAACATTTACTCTCCTATTTTTTATCAGAAATTACTGGGGTAGCTGGGTGTTGGTGGCTCACGCCTGTAATCCTAGCTACTCAGCAGGCTGAGATCTGTGGATCATGGTTCAGTGAAGCCCAGGCAGGAAAGTCTGTGAGACTCTTATCTCCAATTAACCACCAGAAAAAACAGAAATTATACTGTGGCTCAAGTGGTAGAGTGCTAGCCTTGAGCTGAAGAGCTGAGGGACAGTACATAGGCCCAGAGTTCCATCCACTTGACTGACAAAAAATAAAAATTACTGGGGGGGAGGGAAACAGGTGCTAGTGGCTCATGCCTGTAATCTTAGCTACTCAGGAGGCTGAGATCTGTAGATCCTGCTTCAAAGCCAGCCTAGGCAAAAAAAAAAAATCCCCTTGAGACTCTTATCTCCAATTAACCAGTCAAAAACCACACGTAGAGCTATGGCTCAAAGTGGTAGAGTGCTAGCCTTGAGCAAAAGAGCTCAGGGATGGCACCCAGACCCTGAATTCAAGTCCCACAACCAACACACACACACACACACACACACACACACACACACACACACGGACAAGTGGCCACACATCACATTGTCATTTTCTTGATGTGTTAAATGAGTTTGTGTGTGTGTGTGTGTGTGTGTGTGTGTGTGTGTGTGTGCATGTATGAATAGAGATAGATAGGTAGATATAGATTTAGATTACTGCCTTGCCCAGTGCTATGTGCCTGTAATCCCAGCTTCTTGGGAGTGTAGGTGGGAAGACCACTTGAACCCAGAAGTTCAAAACTATATTGGGCAATAGCTTTAGAGAGAAAGAAAAAGAGAGATCAATTTATCTCATGTACATAGATAAAAACACCCTAAACAAAATATAAGCGAATGAAACCTAGCAACACATAAAAAGTATAATGGATTATAATAACCGTGTTGGGTTTATTTTAGAAATGTCAAGTTACTTGTACATTTCAAAGTCAATTAATACAATTCAACCAACTAATGAAAGAAAAAAATCATCTGATAATTTCAAGAGCTGCCAAACATAATTTGATAAAATTTAACAGGAGTCAGTCTATGAGAGAGAGAACAGGTCGCTTTAGTTCAGGCTTCTCCCAGAATGGCTGAAAGAGAAGATTTAGCTATGTCATCTCTGATGGGAAAAGTGATCAGCACCTCTAAAGCCCGCAGGGCCATTGGTCCCTACTTTAGTTAGTCAAACTTCAGTTAGTCGACAGGACCATGTACATTTCAGGACAGGGGAAAAGACTGCAAAATACAGAATACAATCTAATATCCTTGATAAGAAATTTTCAAAAATAAAATGTACTGATGCTCATTTACTTCTGATAGGATATGTCCTGAGGAGCCCACCCGAATTAGAAGATATCATAACGCAAAAATCCATGTAATACATCTAACCTGATAACTATTGTTGCTTAGCAACATAATGTTTGGAAGAACATTACTTTACCATTCTGATCTTAGAACCCAAGTCACTCTACAACAATGTACAAGAATATCAAGTATACTATCACTAGGCAAAGACTAAAATTTAAAATTCAAAGTACAGTCTCTACTAAATGCCTATAATTTTATACAATTATAAATATAAAATGTTAAATCATTACAAGAGAATAAGATAGTGCCCTGAAAGCATTTGTTATCTCTAAAATCTCTAGGGAAACTATCAGAAGCTAAAAAGCACCAAATCTACAAGATGGGTGATGGGAGGACACTGAACTCTCAGACCCAAATATTTAAAAAGGACAACAGACAATCTGGGCAAGCCAAACAGAGGAACTGATCTGGTATGTGTGGAAAGCCAGCCTAGGAGAACATATACAAATGCAGAAGGCAAGTACTGGAGTACAAAAATCACAAATCCTAGCCAGGCACAGTTGCTCGTATCTATAATCCCTTCTACTTGGGAAGCAGAGATCAGGAGGATCATTGTTTCAGACTAGCACAAGAAAAAAGCTAGTAAACTGCTACCCTAACCAATGAACTGGCTTAGGAAGCCCTAACGCTGTCTGAGACTGGTCCTGGGCAAAAACTGAGACAATGTCAGAAAAATAAAGCCAAAAAAAAAAAAAAAAAAGCTTGGGGTGTGGCAAGAGATAGAGTGCCTACCTAGCAAGTGTGAGTCTCTGAGTTCAAATATCTGTACAAGCAGAACGCTTAAAAATGAAGTAAGAGGGGCTGGGAAGGTAGCTCAGTGGTAGGGTGCATGCCTTGCAAGCATGAGGCCCTGGGTTCAATTCCTCAGCACCACATAAACAGAAAAAGCCGGAAGTGGTGCTGTGGCTCCAGTGGTAGAGCGTTAGCCTTGAGCTAAAGAGCTGAGGGACAGCGCCCAGACCCAGAGTTCAGGCCCCATGACTGGCAAAAAAAAAAAAAAAAAAAGCAAGAGAATACTACCTGAAAACCATACCCATTTAAGAAAGCTGCACAACCTCAATAATCATCAGATATATGAAAGTGATGCTTTCTATCCATTAACATAAATATTTTTCTAGAGAGTAAGTAGGAAAAGTAATTTTCAAATAAGCAATACTGAATCTACACAACTCAGAATATTTTTTTTCATATCCAAGCTGAAAGCTGGTGGCTCACACTTGCAATCCTAGATACTCAGGAAGCTGGGATCTGTAGGACAGCAGTTCAAAGACAGCCCAGGAAGAAAACCTGCAGAAAGCTGAAGTGAAGGCTTAATTCAGGCAGAAAAGCACCAGCCAAGCAACATAAAACTCTATGCTCGGGCTGGGAAGGTGGCTCAGTGGTAGAGCGCTTGCCTTGCATGCATGAGACCTGGGTTCGATTCCTCAGCACCACATAAGCAAAAAGAAAAAAAGCTGGAAGTGGCGCTGTGGCTCAAGTGGTAGAGTGCTAGCCTTGAGCTGAAGAGCTCAAGAGGGACAGCACCCAGGCCCAGAGTTCAGGCCCCACGACCAGACCCCCCCCCCCCCCAAAAAACCCTCCATGTTCAAGCCCCAGTACCACTACAAAAAGAATGATTGTTATAAATCTCACAAAACTCCCATATAAAAATAAAATAGTGTAAGAACAAATGATGCACCCTTACCTTGTTCATTTTGTGCTTTGTATGTAGACAGTTCTGAAGATACAACTGTGTTAGAAGAAATACAGGTCATGAAAGATATTGACTTCCATAAATTTCTTGATTCTTCTGCCCTAAAAAGCTACTCGTATCCACAAGATGAAATGTTCTCTATGGGAAGTTACTGTTCCTTTGACCTTTAAGAATGATCAGGAGAAATCAGGTGAGTGATCACCTAAGATTACTCTAATATCACTCTCTCAGATAAGTATAAATATTTGCATCCTATGGAATTTAACAGGTTTAATCTCCTTGATGTTCACAAAAAACATTAAAAATGGCAACATAGTTTAAACAAGTAGACAGTACACCTAGTGAAAGAACAGTAACACTGAAACTGTTGAAAAAAAAATATTCTGGGCTGTCCTATCAATTTTCTTACTACTATTACTTACCCTTTGGCTAGTGAGTGCACAGAAAGTCATAAAAGGCTTCTAAGAAAAAACAATGTTTTAATTTCTGTAACTTCGTGGTTTCTCCAAAGGATGTCTTTGTAAGAAATTTGCTCAGATTAAGTATACTAGTTTGCCAGAATGGAAAGCTGAATTTTGGCCTTCACCATTAAGAAAATGTGACCCTGAGGAAGTAAACCTTTCTTTTCTTGTACCAAATAAAAACAAAAGCAGACAATTCTTGAAGATCCTTGCTCAGTGCTAGGGGGAACTCTGGTAAACAGCATACATCAAAATGCAGTGATAACTACTTCTGGAAAGCAGCTCACAATCTATGAAAGAAAACCAAGCAACACAGGGCATCCAGAAAAGGATAACTGATCTAAGTGGTGACACCAAGGCCCCAGCACCCAAGCCACATGCGCATTTGCTCACCCCACAGTACAGCCCTCACCCCAGTGGTGCCAAACCAAATCACGCCTGCGCATAGGCTCGCCCTGCAGCACTGCCCCTCCACAGGTGCTAGCGGCACACCTCACGCATGCGCATATGTCCTCCTCCCAGGCCGGGAAAGGACAGTGAAAACCGAGGAGGGGGTCTGTCCTGAGACTGCCTCAAGCTCTGACGGAGACGCCGCAATCTGGAGGTCCCACCAAGAGGTCCGCAGGGATCTTCTCCGCAGCCGGGCGCTGAATGTACCCCGCAAGTCGCGCGGGGCTTCCTTGGTTCTCACCCGTTGCACCCGGGCGTGTGGCATCGCAACCCCAAGACCGCGTAGATTGGGCGGTCCGGGGCCAAAGGGAGACGGGGAGGGCGGGGCGAGTAGAGCCGCAGGAGACCTGCGCAGAACTTACGCGCAGGGTCAGGAGTCAAACTACATTTCCCAGGAGGCTCGGCGGCCAGCACTTCCGGATGGGCGGGGAAAGGAGAAGTGAGCACCCGGTACCCTGGGGCCGGACAGGGGCGTCCCAAAGATGAGAACCTGGGCGGGGAGGGAGAGGGGGGGGCCTGCGGTGCGCACTCTGTACACAGAGCTGCCAAGCAATAACAGCTGCGTGTCCGTTTTGCTTTAAAGATTTGGGAAATAGGTCTCATCCGTGGAATAAAACCATTATCTGAACACCTGATGCAGGTGGCTCACGCCTGTAATCCTACATGTTCCAGAAACCCAAGATCTGACAGCCTGAGCAGGAAAGTCCACGAGACTCAGCGCAATTAAGCAGCAAAAAGCCAGAAGTGGAGCTGTGTCTCAAATGGTAGAGCACCAGACTTGAGTGGAAAAGCTCAGGAATAGTGCCCAGACAGGTACACACACACACACACACACACACACACACACACACACACACACATACAAGCTTGACCCCACCATTGAGTCTCGGGGCAAACAGGGAAAGGGAACCAGAGCGCTGAAAATCAAAATCAAAATTTGCCACGGACTGGCTCTGTCGGGACAACGGAGGACACCTAGTGGAGGAACTGGAATAGGTGGGGAGATGGTAAACAGACAACTCACACACAAGAGTGGATGCTGAGTGCGATTTAATGCAGAGGATAACAAACTTTTATAGCAAAAGTCTCCATGAGAAAGGACAAAAGGTTACACAATCTTGCTGCAGGGCTTCATTCTTGGATGGTCACCCAGCTGGTCGCCTGATAGGCACTTGTTTCCGGCTTTACCTCTATTTTTAAGAAATACAATGGGTTTCGATGTTTATCACCAATTAACCATTACTTTTTTCTATAGAGGCCTTAACTGTCCCTTAAGATCTTTCCTGTTCCTTCTTTAATAGTAAGCACCAAGGAGGCCTAGCTCTAGCAAGTCTCTTAGTAAATGAAAGAGAGTAACAGGAAGTTCTTTCTCCTAAGTAGTTTTCCCAGCAATTGCCATACACTCTTTCTGCACTAGCCGCACCTACAGCTTCTTGTAAATCTCTTACAAACAATTCCTTCTGCTGAAGTGGCGTCATGAAACCCCCAATACTTTTATATTTACTTATGACTTGTCTACTAGCCTCCATAAGAGGGGCTTTCAGGGTAGCACTTAACTCTGGTGAGTTAGTCATATTTTTAAGACACTCATCAGATGTTGGAGTCGTCAACACTCTTAAGAAAGAGCCTTGAATTAGGGAACATGGAGCATGAGTAAGTACAATGAGCAGCAGGAACAGTAAAAGATTAATAGGCACTCCTATACAGTGAAGAAAAGAAAAACAGGAACAGAAACATATCTTTCCCAGGGGCTTGCCAGCCTTTCCAGGAGGTAGGCCTCTTTGAAGCCCCATTCTCTGAGGTAGACTTCGGTGAAGTCCCATTCTCAGAGATAGGTCTCTGTGAAGCCTCATTCTCAGGTCTGAAAGCAGGTTTCCCATGCTAAGCAGACTCCACCAGAGTAGGCGTGGCAAAAATTAGTGAAGCAATACAAGAAAACAGTAGGTCAAACCCTTAAGTAGGGATGCTGAATCTTAACTGATGACATCTTGGTCATGTAATTTGGGATTGTCAAGTTTAGAGTTTACACTTGGCTTCTATAACTTCATTTTGTTTTTGTGACTCCATCTGAAAACTCTACCCCCACCTATGAGACTAGTTTCTTATAGTTTGGCATTTAAAGATAAATGTAGCTGCTAGGCGCTGGTGGCTTACCCTTTAATCCTAGCTACTCAGGGAGGCTGAGACCTGAGGAGTGAGGTTCAAAGCCAGCCCTGGCAGGAAAGTCCATGAGACTATTATCTCCAGTTAACTACCAGAAAACTGGAAGTAGCACTGTGGCTCAAGTGGTAGAGCACTAGCCTTGAGCTGAAGAGCTGAGGGAAGGCACCCAGGCCCAGAGTTCAAGCCCCAGGACCATCCCCCCCCCCAAAAAAAAAATGATATGTAGCTATTGTTTCTGTTTCTAGCTAACAATTATAGTAAGGGGCTGTGGAAATGATCGTGGTAATGGATTATAGAAATGCCATGGGTAATTGTCATGTTGCCTCACTCATTATTGCTTATAGCGTTGTTTTAGCTTACTCATGCTTGTTCACACCATTGTTTCACCTTCTTTAACTTCATGCTTGGCTTGCACCTGCAAAGAACCATTAGGAACTTTCCACCCTTGAGCAAATAAGGAGGTGGGCTTTCTGCTTTAAAAGGGGCCATGAGGCCAGACTTGGCACTGTACTTTTTCTGGGCACCCGACTGTCCAATGTAGTCCCATCCAATAATTAAGACTTTCTTTTGGCTGTACTCTGTGTCTGCATGGCCTCTTCTGGTGGTCTCCCCTCAACAACCACGTAGTGGAAGATAGGGTATTGGGTTTAACTTCATGGTTGAGGCAGGGAAGTCCTACCTGCCAGGTAATGGGCATACTTGAATTCCTAGAGGCAGGAGCAGGGACTTGGACAATAGGTTACTGGACCCGCCAGTCTTAGGTCATGAACTCTCAAGCTCTCTGTGACCCTGCCTCCTGACCTGACCCTATTTAGGCCCAGACCAGCTCAGGTGCCAGGAGACCATGCCCCATGTGTCTGTTTTCACTTCTTGACTCCTGACTCTTCTCCAGTCACCATGGTGTCCCACTTAAGTGATCCATTGGCGCTGATGTGGTTTGTTGGTATTGTTTTTCTGCTCTTTGCTTTCTTTTCCTGCTCTCATGACTCAGTTTTCTCACAGTGTTAAGTGTATTTGTGGGACTACAGATCTTTGAGACAGGAGTCCATCTGCAGACCCCCTTTGCTCTAATAAAAACTGCTGATTCAACCTCAAAAAAAATGTGGCTTCTGTTTTCTTGCTGTACAACAAAACCAGACATGATCCAGAAGAAAATATTACCATTCTTTCCTTTGTAATATTAGATGGGTTGACTAAATGGAGATACACATTTTCATACATAGGAAGACTAATTTTTTTTACAAAATTCCTAACAATTGGCAATAGTTTTGTATTTCCTCTGTAGTAGCTTTTAGTGTGTATTCTTTACCAAAACATTATTTTTAATTTTTTCCATCAGTTATTGGGAGTTGAACTCAGTATCTGATGCTTTTGCTGACTGACTGATGCTCTATCACCTGAGCCACACATCCAGACTCACTCACCCACCTTTTTTTAACCTAACCATTCTAAACTTCAAATGGAATAATCTTCCAGGGAGCTGATTGTCTTTGGCTCATCCTTGTGATCCTGATTACTTCGGTTGCTGAGAGCAGAATAACCATCAGATGGTTAGATGATGGGCCATCAATTCTTAGCCATTAATTTTTCAAATCATTTTTTTCTGTCTCCTCCCTAATCGTCTATTGTTTGTGTACTTCAGTTACATATACATTAGGAAACTGAAAGTTTTCCCAAAGCTCATTGGTCTTTTTTTTTTCAGTGTTCTGTTTTGAAGATTATCTGTTCTACTGTAAATCTGATGTCAATCACATTCAATGTGTTTGTCATCTTTACTTTGTAGGTATTATTTCTGTTTGATAGGGATATTATAACATTGCTATAAATATGAATCAATAAATACAATGAAATATATTAAAATATATGTTATATATGTGGTTAAATATGTTATATATTTATTTTAATTATGTTCAGTTATTTTCATTATTTTAATATGTGTTTAATATATGCTAAAATATTAAATACTTATTTTAATATTTCTACTTCTTTAGTATGAAGGTCTTTCATGTATCTGCTTATTTCTTTGAACTTCTGAGATAATAGTTAACTTTGTGGTAGGTTTTTAAAAATTATATTTATTTTTCGTGGTCCTGGGGCTTGAACTCTGGGCCTGGGCACTGTCCCTGAGCCTTTGTGCTCAAAACCAGATCGCTACAACTTGAGCTTCAGCTCCATTTCCAGTTTTTTTGGTGGTTAGTTGGAGATAAGGGACTCATGAACTTTTCTGCCCAGGCTGGCATCAAACATTGAACCTCAGATCTCAGCTTCATGAATAGCTAGGGTTACAGATGTGAGCCACTGATGCCCAGATTAAGGTAACAGTTTTAATGTCCTTGTTTTATTTTTTAAGTCTAAAATGTTTGTCAGTTCTAAATCAGTTTTCTGTGGTTGGTTTTTCCCATCACAGCAAGTTGAATTTTCTGCTTCTTTGCCATCCTGCTAGTTACTAGGTTGTGCAAATGTTCGGGGTATACCATATAATGTTGTGTTCTTTTACACATTATTGAGCAGGTCTATTCTAACCATCAAAACTCCAGAAGTGGAGTTGTGGTGGCTCAAATGGCAGAGCACCAACATTGAAAGGGACAGTGCCCAGGTGTTAAGTCCCAGTACCAGAACAAAAGCAAAAAACAAAAGCCTTCCTGGCCAGGATGGTTTTGAACTTTAATCCTCAGGTGTCATTCTCCTAAGTAGGTATGAGCCACTAAGACCTGGTTTCTTCAGGGCTTTATCACATGACAAAATTGGATTGTTCACAAGCTTTATCTACATTATCTTGAGATGATTATATAATCATTGCCCATTAATTTTATTGTGTGTACTGGTATGTGTGTGTTGTACTATCTTTGTGTTTCTGGATATAATACATGCCTGCATTTTATCCATTGATTAGGCTTCTCTGTAGGAAACCTTTTCAAATATCACCCTGGAAAGCAAAAAAAAAAACAAAACAAAAACAACAACAACAACAACAACAACAAAACCCACTGATTTATCTTCCATGCTCCTTACTCGATCTCTCTGACTGCCACCCCTCTGGTTGAATATGTACACCCTAATCTTCTTTCCTGTTGTCCCCTTTTGAGGCTCACTGCCCTCTTTATTCTGGTGTCC